AGCCCTGTATAATTTCTACACAATTTCAATTTTAAAACCAAAAATCAAATTTACTAAATAAAGCTACAAATAAATTAAATTACTTGGTGCTTTTGTTTTTATCATAAACAACTATTAAATTAATATTATATTAATTTAGAACATGGCTTTTGTCATACCGTTAATTTTATATTTTAATAAAAGCCCTGTTAGATTAAATAATGGAATTTGTTGTGCGACTGCTCATTTCATTAAATTTATTAATTAAATATATGGTTATTGAATAACAGTTTTTGGTTTTCCGTTTATATACACTGTATATTATACAGTGTACAAAGAAAGCTAAATATCACATTTTGTGGTTTAATATAGTGCACTTGCCACATAACGACCACCAGATATCCTAAGTAAATTTTACACATTTTTTTAATATTTGCCACTGATTCTTGTGGAACACCTCTTTTGGTAATATTTTTTGTCGAAAAAATACAAATCCTTACAGTTTTCTGAGGGAGGTTTTATTTACACAGGTCCAAATTTGAAGACCTCTCTGTCTAATACGTTGGATATTTGATATAAAGTAGCTCCCATACACTGATTTTTTTTTATACAGCGTTGCCATGGTTTCTAAAAACAAATTTACAAACTGACATAATAATATTATAGTAAGCCTTGTTATATTATTAAAATAATAATATTATTATTAGCTTTTGTTTTCAATTTGTCAAAAAAAATATTATAAAAATAATATTTCTTCTAAGAAGGTTTCATTCATCGCACATTGGCAACGTAGCATTCAATTTGTTTTAAATGGTGGCTGTACCATCAGCTGCACAAAAAAAAATTTTACAACAACCATATTGTAAAAAAAATGTTTAATTATTTAATACAATTGTTTTGAAATTAACTAAAACTTAAAGCATTTATATCAACGTATAATTTATTTAAAGTACACAATTTTGGAGACGGCAAATCTGTATTATTTTTAATAAAGAATGGCATTAGTCAATACAATATTTTATTAAAATATATAACAATATTAATTTAAAACAGAAATTGTAGTAATTTTACTACAATATATAGTTATATCTTCAATAAATTGTTGTTTATTTTTATTACAAAATTGTTAAATTATTTCTAACAAATTGTTCTTGGTCGTATTTTTTAAACAATTTATACCACAAAATTCTAAAATTGTAGTACTTTACACAACATTTTTTTTCCGTGTGTAATCATAGAAAGTTTTTATTTTGTTAATTTATTGTTTGTTTTGTGATTCATTGGTTTTATTTGGTTTTATGTTCAAAAACTGCTAGAATAATAAACTGTGATATATTAATTAATGATTCTGTGATAATACTCCAAGACTATGCTAAAAACTTAGGTGTAATAATGGACTGCAATTTGAACTTTGAGAGGCATGTTATGTTCCGGTGCTTTTGTGAAATTTAAATCAATGTATAAGTTTAAAAAGGTATTAAGTAGTGATGTAAAATGGAATTTATGTCAGGCTGTTATTTTGAGTAATTTTAATTATTGTGGTGCTGTCTACTTTAACTATGCAAATAAAAAAAATTCTAAATTTACTTCAAAAAGTACAAAACTGCTGCTTAAGATATTCTTATAATGTTAGCTTCAGAGACCATGTAGGTCCACACTATATTAGGTTAAATATTTTCAAATGTGTATATGTCTTTTACAAGCAATTTGCGACTATAGTCGCATATATGTTGTTCAATATTATTAAAACTAAATTACCCTTATATTTATTTTCACTCTTGGAATATAGATATAATAGTCATGATGTAAATGTTAGAAGTAATTGTTTGTTGTCAATTCCATACCATAAAACAAAAAAATTTGAGAGTTCCTTCGAATATTTGGCTGCCAGCATTGTGAATAAAAATTTTATTTTGTGGAGTAGTGATATATCCCTTGGGACTTTTAAAATTAATATCTTAAAAATTTTATTAGAGATCCAAGCCAAAGAAATTTTGTAATCTTATAATTTTAATATGTTGTTGATATTTGTTAGTTTTTATATACTTATTGTTTATTTACAATTTAAAATTATATTTGTTTGCTGGGTGAGTGGAAGATCAGTGAAGCTGAACTCATGCCTTTTGTGATACATGTATTGTACTGTTTTTCACAATAAAGTTATTATTATTATTATTATTATTTAACGCGTTAACCTTAACTTAACAAAAAAAATCATTTTTAAATTTTTGAGAGACCCTCTGTTCTAAAAAATAAATCTGAGGAATACTTACTAGGACGAAGTCAAAAAATAATACTTTTTAATATGGTAAAGAATTATATCGATAAATGAAAATCAAAAAGTGTCAGTGTAACATTAACATCTGAAGAAACTTGTATTTTAAAAAATACTTGAATAAAGAATGTTTTACCAAAATAAAAGAAAACAGTGTAATTATGATGGATAATGCGGGGGGCATCATGTTAATGATAAAATGCTGAAGGTCCAACTTTTAAATTTGACAAAAATTATAAAACTATGGTTTTAAAAAAATATTATAAGGAAATATTATTGAAACCTAATGACTACTTCAATTGATGTATTAAAATTTAAATTTTATGAAGTTGAAAATGGTCATCGTGATGTTTTGTTTTTTAATGAAAGTTTCATTAATTGCATTTATATTTTCTTTAAGCCTTTTCTCAGAAAAAAATTAGATTTAAAGTTTTTAAACAGACTTTTTCAGTAGGGTAAATAGGGAGCCCATAAAAGTAGTTACGTAAGTTGTTCAGAATGAATTTTTAAAAATCCAAACAAAATTTTTACAATAGATATTTATTTTCCTAATATCAGTTACAATAAGTTTACCTTAATACTTTATATGTTAAAATATAAATCGATGAAAGAATATTATATTAATTAATTTCGTTTAAAAGGTATATTGTCAATTTTTTTGTATTTTCTACGTACAGTTAATTTTTTTTATTTGAACTCTTGATTTGTTTATTAAGTTGATAGCTTATGCCAGTTTGATTTAGTATTTTTAGTATTTAAAAAATGGTACTTCTGCTGAAGACCATAATTAAATAATCTGACACTGTCAAATTGACAGTAATATTTATTAATGATAATTTACTTGTTAATTATTATATAATATCGATGTAAAAAGATAACTATGCCAAAAATAATATCAGATTCTAAAGTAAAAGAACTTTTTAGGGCAAAACTTCAAGAAGAAGTTATGCCAAATGCCTCAATGGCAGAAAAAGTACATCGCAAAAAAGTAACGTTTTTGGTTTTACAAATATTAAATCACACATTATTTTCAGCTAAGCAGAACAAAAATTTTTGATATTTTAAAAAATAAGGGGGAAATAAAAAAAACAAATAATAAAAATTATTTGCTGTTAGGTTCAACATTTTTGTGAAAATATTGGTTTGAAAAAGATAAACAATAATCAATAAACTTTTTCTTCTTTCAATTTGCAAGTTACTGATCATTAATAATTCTGGAAAATATATACACTATAACTATTATTTATCAACTACAAGTATTACCGTCCAGTGGTTTTAACAAAATACCCATTTACCATTGGAGTCCAATGATTGGACAACATTAACACATAAAATTTTAATTTATTTTATATATATTTTTTTTAAAGCGAAGATTATTATCCGCTAGGAATACTTTGTCTCTCCTGGGCCGTAGTCACCTATATTTAACTACTTTTTTTATGATTTTACTCATCTATAGATGGTGGTGCGTATACGCACCACCAAAGCCAAATTAATTGCATTTTTAACTACTAATTTTGACTCAACTTGACAACCGTTCAATGTAACCTACAATAATTTAAACATAACCACAATTACATTATAATTACATTTATAACTAGTTTAGTTTGTTTTAATCAATGCAACCAATTTTGGTTCCGTATTTACCAACCAAACCCCTAAATTTGCAACGTTGCCGCAGTCCAGATAAAAAAAAGAACTCAACCTTGCTTTTTATTATTTTATTTTCTTTACAATAAATAAACTACAAAGTATGTAGATTCTGTTTATAAATTTATTTATGACGTTTTTATCTTCGTTTAAAATTTTATATGCAAATGTAAAGTGTAAAACAAGTCAAAAGTGTTGAAAACGCTGATTTTAATCTTAAAAAATTTCATGAAACGCATGCATATGATTGAGTAATGTGAATAATATTGCAACGTGGATTAATTACCTGACCAAACTTTTTGTATCAAAGGAATTGGAATTTTCAAAGCAAATAAGTAAGTCTTACTGTGTAACTAAAAAAAAGTAAGTAAGTAATAGGTGGAATATTAAATAAGGTAAAAGTTGTCCTAAGCAAACATTCTCAAATCAAAATTTTGGTTTTGTTTGACTTGGTGGTGGTATCTTGGAAAGCGGAAATGGCAGAATTTAAATGTTTAGCAGAAAATAAAACGTTAACGGAAATGAGTCTAAATTTACATTTAAGTACATTTCAAGAATTATTAACCAAGTAAAATAAGTAAAATTAGGATTTGTATTAAATTTTAATCTCTCAAATGTAATGCGTTATAAATGTTCTAAAACATTTCTATTTTATTATTAACCAAGTAAAATAAGTAAAATTAGGATTTGTATTAAATTTTAATCTCTCAAATGTAATGCGTTATAAATGTTCTAAAACATTTTTATTTTTCCAATAAAAATTAACCAACCCCTACAAAAACAAATAAATTAAAGATTTTCATTTGTCAACAAACGCTACCCTTCACGACCTCTAACAAGCACATCCAGACGCTCCCATTTTTCAGCATCTGCCTCCTGAAATCCCGAAACCCTGAAAGCCCATCCAACAACCGAAACAGGTATTTTTCAGCTGAAAAACCGAACAGGAGGCCAGAAGTTGAAAGCACACCCCAACGAATACACGAAAACGTAGAAATCGCACCGTCTCTACGAGTATCAGTGTACAAGCTGGCACCTGCGCACAACTTGGCATCGATGCAGCTACTCTTGCGCCTTCGACTGTTTAGTTCCCTGTCAAACGCAAGGCCCGCTGGACCTGGCGCACCGCGATCGGCGTTTGTTTATACGAATTTGACAGATAAACAATAACAATGAACCATAAGTGACTTAAACTCACCCATAAACCCCGTCAAGAGTTGAATTATATGACTATTATGTTACAGTGAGGTTTTTATGGCGGATTTTCGCCAGTGACAGTTCACATTCGGCTTTATTTGACAGTTCTACAGCCTTCTATAAACAATTGTAAAAACATTTCTACCAATTGTTAAATCTACAAGCTACTGGATTTTATTTGTTTTGTTTTTGTTTTTCGCAGTGGTATTGTGATTTTCAGTGGGTGTTTTTATGTTTTGTGTCCCAAATGAACTAAATTGCAAAAATACTGAAGAAAAATGGGGCCGGTTTTGTTAATCGTTGTGTGTTTCCTGCAAGTTATACGAGGTGAGATTTTGTGGTGTATTGTATACCTACAGCATGAAAAAAGTCGATAATCTTAAGATGGTTAGGGGGAAACAGCGGCAAATTCAACGTCTCGAACCACATTTCATATATTTTTATCTTACACAAATAATATAAATTTCCCAAAACAAACATTGGACGAAAGTACTTTAGTTTCGTTATATGTACCATTAAATATTTGTTTAGGTACAAAACCTCGTATTTCAGACATAAAATAAAGCTGGATGTATACTATTAAAATTTTCTTAATTTTATTTAAGCCTTGATACGCAAATAATAAAGTTTTACCGCTTTTATATGGGCGCCGATTTAACATTTTACATCTGGATTGTATAAAAGTGCGTTTCACACAGCTACTTATTAGGCTTAATTTAACGAAAATCTGTTCACTATCAATTTGAGTGGGGCTATTTTTCAAAACAACTGAAAATGCCGACTCTGGAAAGTTGAAGAGAAATTTTGATCGTAGAGTAAATACATATTTTTACAAATAGAATTTTTGCACACAAACCACTAAATCTTTTGTTGCAAATTGCGGTTTCCTGTGTAAAACATTTGTCCCATCAAGTTCACAGTTCAAAAAACCCCATCGTCCATGTTAAAATAAGTAATTACAATTGATTATCATTAAACGTTCGAGCCCTTTTTGATGACAGACAACGTTTTTTACCAACGACGAACTCATTGGATTTTATTATTATATTCTAAAAGGTGTATCGACGAACCTTTATATTTTTTCGTATCACAGGATATACTATAATGGACCATTGTAAAAGGACTTTTGTGATTTAAATGCTTCGATGAAATAACATAATGTGAATAGGTACGAATTATGTTTCGTATTGCATGGTCTAAGGTTTTATATACTCCAAGATTTTAGATAGTTTTTGGGTTAAAAATCGTACACAATTTTTTTAATAAATATACCAAAAAAGGAAGTGTCTTAGGGCCGGTTTATCAATCTTTTTAAGTTCCAGTTAAACTATCTGACAGTTAAATTCTTTATCGATCGTTGTGAGAACAATGGTATACCATGGATATATCCATGGCAATTATCTGCCAGATAACTAACTGCAACTTTAACTGGATATTGATAAACCGGCCCTTAATAAAGTAAAGATTCCTATTCGTCCAACAATTGCTTTTGTGACGGCAAAAATATCATTTTTATAAAAATTATTTATCTACAAACGCTGCTTTCAGTAATAGCATTTGGATTAATTATAAAGTAAATTTACGTTATGTTTATAAAAATAACACTCTTCCAGATGCAGAAACGCATTGATAAATATAGTTATTATTTGTCCAAAAAAACAGTTCTATACCGTTTACAAAAACTTTTTGTAGTATTAATGAAACAATGGTATTATTCATAGAAATTTTGCAAATTTTACAAATCCCTTTTTGTTAAAAATAATTTTTTTTTTAATATTAATAAAATGTACATATGTAAATTTAACAACAAATTTATTGTTAATTCAATAAACTATTTTCATTATAACAATGGTCACATTTTCAACCTACTGTTGGGTGTTTTTTTTAAATAATTGCAAGGCATTTAAAACAAATTATTTATTATAACAAAAAATTAACTCGTAGGTATTATATGATGTACAAAATAAAAAAAAATATGAACTCACTTTTTAAACAAGTCTGCTTCGTTTATAGAATAGAGCTTAAATAATTCTTTTAGAAAACGTCGAAATTTTAATTTTCTTAGTGATCTTTTTTATATTTTTATCATGCTAGATTTTACCACACTTCACTCGCACAAGTAAAATCAATAAGATTATAAACAGACTGTGGATTATAAAGTTATGTCCACCAAAGAGAGCGCTGACCCTTTCCCCCTCTTTTTAAGGGAAATAACAAAAATTTTGTTACCATTGCAAATCAATAGTAAATATTAAAAAAGTCTTTTTATAGCAATAAAATATTTTTGTTATTGTTTTTAACGGAAGCTATAACAAAGATTTTGTAACTTTGACAAATCGTAGGTTTTTGTCACAATAAAAAAGGTACCTTAGGTTGTAGATTTTTTATAGTCATTACAATTTTAAATTAAAAAATATTATTTTATTAATCGCTTACAAAATTAGTTTCATTTTAAGTGCATGTACATTTTTCTGAGTGTTCTTATATAAAATCCCAGCAATTTAACTTAGCAAGACAGAAATACAATCAGAACTTAAGAAAATACCTCTTAATGCCCATTTCCCCCTTTTTAAAATTTCAAAAGGAAATTCGGTCTTAAGATTAATCCTTAAAAGGTGTAAGCTATATTTCGTCAGTCTAGCCAACAGAACATTAACACACATTTTGTAAGAAAAAGGGGCCTTTCAATGAATGAGTGGTTTAAAAATAGCTCAGACCTATAATTTACCAAAACATTTTAAATGCTTAATTTTGGGGTATACATCTTCAGGCAGTTCAAAGGTATATGGTTAAGGAAGGTTCAAATATTTAATTAATTATATAAAGTTGGTCAAGAGTTGGTTGTATACACTGAAAGAAATATATGTTTGTTTTAGCAATGTTTGTGGTTCATATATGGACTACCACATACATTGCTAAAACAAACATATATTATATTTAGTTTTAACATAATATGTTAAAACTAAATATAAAAATGGTTAAGGTAAATATATTATATGTTTGTTTTAGCAATGTATGTGGTAGTCCATATATGAAACATAAATTTCTTTCAGTGTAGGTTGTCTAGGATATGTGTGGGGTATTAGTATGACCTCATAAAAAAGGTCTAATGGTGTCAGATGTGGAGATCTATGAGACCATTATATTGGTCCTCTTTTACCAAACCACTGTTCTGGATAATTCTGATCAATAATGCCAATATATTTCGCTACAAAAATTTCAAAATAATAAAATATTACTAAAAAACTTTCCCCACAACAGTTACCTATGCATATAATGTGCACCATCAATCATTTTAACTTTTTACAATAGCGGGCCTATTACAAGTCACAAATTAGACATCTTACAACAAACGACTTATTATAACGCACCATTCAATAAATAATTCTATTCATTTTCCAGCGAGACATTAGTCATACATAGTGTGTACAATTCGAACAATGATATTGCTGTTAAAATAAATTGTGAGGCAAATTTTAAAAATGTTGTTTTTTTTAATTATAAATCCGTCAGTTCGTACACGATTTGATGGCAAATTATGTATTCCTAAAGAGTTTAATAAATATGCTAATGCAAGTCAAATTTTGTAATCAAGATACTTAATTGGTCTTGTGCAAGAAACAATAAACCATCATAAATCTTTATAGCGTATGGAAAAACTGTTAATATAATAAGCATCAATGTATAAGATTAAAATTTTAGTAAATTTGTTAATACCTACATAAAATTATTTTGTATAAAAATTTGCATATTTATTTTTGACATGTACAAAAACTAGATACAAGAAAAACATAACATATTCTATTTTTTGAAATCAAACCAATCGATTTTAAGACATTTGTCCCGTATTGTGTACACTTTATACCTACGTTTTGACTTCTTTACTATTGTAAGACCTTTTAATACGTATTCTTGCGTTACCGAAAAGTGTCAAAATGATTCATTGGGTGTTCATAACAGATTATCTCCTATTATACCGAAAAATGAACCGACGCTACAGATCTGACAATACCCAGGTAGAAAATGGCTTCATTCATCAAATGTGTGAAATTTTGCCAATTTTTTCTCGAAAAACGATGCTTAATATAAAAAAGGTTGTTCTTACATACAGGTTTTTAAAACAGTGTATAGGTATGTCTGCACCTAAAAGATATATATTTTTTTAAATCTTTACTACACTCTTAGAAAAGACCTGGTATTTGTAACTAACTTATTATCGTTGGGGTAAACCTGTTGCAGAAAATAACATTTTTTGTTTTTTGTAATCAGTACCTTTATATGTGTAACTGCTTGCATCATTACCTGAAAAGATTTAGTTTTGTTGTGGAGTATTATTTACTGCAAAAAGGCGATTAAGTTATTTTAACTGAAACTTTGTGTTGGCTAGAAGTATTGACAACATTATCTCAAAAAAATCATTTCGGCGGTAAAATGTTTTTGTTGGACCAAATATTTAAGTAACATTCTCAACTGACTGAAATTAGTCCGTGGAACTAACGGTTCGGTTGTATAAACTATGCGTCACTTTTCATACAGCTAAGACACCAGCGGTGTGAAACAAAGTGTCAGTTGGGGATGTTGTCTCTGTAGGTTAATGCAACTGCAAACTTTGTGCGATTTGTCCAGCCCGGCGCGTGCTTTACTTTTAACCTGTACACAAACGGTGTTGCACGGCGTCCAGACGGTGGTGTTTGTTCTTTTGTATTTGTGTATCAGCTCGTGTGTTGTGTATATTTTAGATAAGAAACTAGTTTATTACAATTAGTCATTTGCCCCTGTAAATTCAGTGGCGACATAATTTTTAACTATTCATATATATAAGAATATATTCTTATGTGTTGGTTACTTATAGATATCTCGAACAAATAATATGGATAAGCGGACTGAAGTACCTAGCAGATTTATTAGGAACATGGGGTTTACCTGAATTGGTTCCAGTTTTTAAAGGTTAGGTATTATTATTGCACTCCTTTAATTACACTATTGTAGTTTTGGGGTCCGAAAAAAAATTCAAAAATGTGAAAATGCCATACCGACTGAAAATGGCCTTCTGAATCCAATGGTGCCCACCAAAAGTCTCCATCACGTCGGAATTTCGAATTCTTACCCCTGTTATCATGCAAGTATGTTACGTTGTACCTAAGAATCATTGTTAAGTTGTTAAACAAAGGCTTGCACTTCACGTAAACATCACGGTTTATTGAAGAAGTATAGTCAACTTTCATCTTAATGTACCTATCTGTATATTTACCAAAGAATCGTTTTTGTTTTATTGTTAAAATATTTATAAATGTTTTCTTATAGTAATTATTAATTTTTGTTATAAT